TTCATTTACAAAATTCGAATACATTGTTTTCCAGAACAGATTCTTCTAATTTCCCTCACCCTCCCACCCATCAAATTGAACAACCCATGATTTAATCACCCCTGAACCTCCTCATCCGTCTGCTTCCACCCACCATCCTTGGATCCTTATACTCATTCTTCAATAATGGTTTTATTCAATATTTGTCCTTGTGGGACTGAGTTAGTTCACTGAGCATAATGCTCTCCAGTCCCTCCCAAGTTAGGTAATAATTTATAAAATCATTGATCCTGCATGCTGCATAGTATTCTATTGTGTGAATGTGAATGTACCAGAATTTCTCAATCCATTTGTCTATGGTTGGACATCTGGGCTGTTTCCACGTTGTTGCAATGGTGAATAATGCTGCTATGAACATTGGTGGACAAATCTCCATTTGTGCCTCAGTTCTTACTTTCTCAGGGTATATTCCAAGAGGTGGAATAGCTGGGTCATAAGGAATTTCTATGTGCAGCTTTTTGAGGAAGCACCAAACTGCCTTCCAGAGTGGTTGTACCACTTTACAATCCCACCAACAATGTATAAGAGTTCTTTCTTACCACATCCTCTCCAACATTGATTTCTTGCTGGCCTGCTAAACTTTGCCACTGTTACTGGAAAAGTGAAGGTTTTATACAGAGAAAGCATTATGCTTAAAGACTGTTATGCAGGCATTCAGTTAGAGGTTCCAGCCTGGGTAGACAGGCTTTCCAGTGGAATTCAAAACAGTTAAGAGTTTCCAATCTGACACCTAAACTAAAAATTTCAGACTATCGGTTTCCAAAATTATGTGAGCTAATTCTTTATAATTAATTCAGCCTATTTTCTCTCTCCCTCTATTTGCATACATGCAGAGTCATATATATATATTTTATATAAGTCCATGAGTTATGAGTATTTTGTACAAAAGAAAATGTTATGGAAAATAGTAATCAGGAGTGGTGGAGGCAGGGGCTAGGGATGCATTGACCATGGTTTTAAATGGCATATTCAGGTACAGCTTCTCCAGGGTAAGGGTTAGGCTGAGGCCTGCACCAGAAGGAGTCAGTCACAGGAAGATAGGGGAGACAATGTCTAGGCAGAAACAGAGCAACATTTTAAAGGGAGTAAACTTGATTCACAGTAGACTGAATGAAAATGGAGAAAAAGGTCATTATGGGTGAGGGTGGTGTGTGCAGTGTAAGTGGTGTGGGAGGGAGAAAATCCAGGACAAGGAGACCAGGAGTCAGGAGCTACGATATACACTAAGGATAATGCATGGAAAACACTTTAAATGGTCCCTGGGACTGAATAAGCACTCAATAAATGCTAATCATTGCTCTAATTATGGATTAATATAGTCTTCATAATGACCTAATAAGTAAGTACTCATACTTCCATTTTATACATTAAGAAAATGATAATACAAAACAACTATGAGATATCATCTCACCCCAGTAAGAATAGCAAAATTTAACTGAAGAGCAAGCAACAAATGCCGGCGAGGTTGTGGAGAAACTGGAACCCTTATTCACTGTTGGTGGGAGAGTAAAATGGTGCAACCACTGTGGAAGGCGGTGTGGCACTTTCTCAAAAAGTTGCAAATAGAGATACCATTGGACCCAGCAATTCCACTACTGGCAATATACCCTAGAGAAACCATAACTGACATCCAAGGAGATATATGCACACCCATGTTTTTCATGGCTTTGTTCACAATAGCAAGGAGTTGGAAACAAAATAAGTGCCCATCAACAAACGAATGGATAGAGAAGCTGTG